AAAAAGAAATGGTTAATGTGGTTGAAAAAACTCCAGACTTTGCTATAATTTATTCCTATGGTAGTAAGTAAAAAACTATAGGAGCGAAGCTCCTCTGCTTATTAGGAAAAACTCAGGTCCGCAAGGGTTAGGGTACGGCCTTTTCGAAGGGATATCGATTTCATATTCAACCTGCGAGGTAAATCTATGATTGCAAGCCGCTGAGATGGTTCCATAAAGATACACAACGAACCTAGCAAAGAATTTCTCAAGAAATGGATATGAAACCATGATCACTTTAACCACCATAAATTTTCATGAAATCTGTATCTTTGCATTCCTCGCTTATGAAAGAAATGGTGTTCATGTAAGAGATATTATCAGGCATTCTTGGTTGACACGTCACGTGACATAATTAAAAGTGAATGGACTGCTCAAGAAAATCAAAGAAGGAACGTTCCTCAAATCCAACAAATGAACTAAAAATTCGGAATTACCATAGGATCATCATTCCCTCCTGGTTCGATAAGCTCACCAATGAATTCAAGACCGCGACCTGGGGCTATTTCTGAACAAAAAGATTTATAAGGTCAGAAATCGCAGAAATTTTAGACGCACCTGACCCATGCGGTTTGAAATCTATAACCCGCACACCATCATTGATACCATCCAATCCTTCGTTATAGTTGTCGGTTTTGAACAGCGAAAATAATAGAGGATCCTCCTGAAAAAATCCTAAGACGTATAGCGTATAATAACCACCCATTTATATCACTATGGACTCGTTTAACCTCAAATAGCACCATAAGGACATTGTATGAAACATTGAACAAAAGTACTAGTGTGCCGATGCGCGCATGGAGAGGTGAAAAAGTAATTTTTATTTAACAACGATCCGAAAAAAAAAGGTTTAGAAACATTTCTCCAGCTAAAGCCACAATTCCGAAAGCTGCTCAAACGAATTTTCTAATGAAGTGCTGCTAAGCACTAGCTAAATGCAACAAGACTACATATTCATCACCTAATTAGATAGAACAAACCGAAAATAAATCTAGAACCAAAAAAAGTAGTAGCTCGGCATTTCTTGTAGTGTCTCTTTTGCTGACAGCCATCGAGTCGAACCTTTTAAATTAGTAATGCGGACCTGATCTACAAACCATGAAATTATCTCGTGAAATAGCAACCGCAGAGGTGTTATGTATCCTATTGACTGATTAACCCCAAGATTGCACCTTTAGAGGTTTTTTATTCATGTTTTTATCGAAATGTGCCTCCTAGCATACTTCACATGATTTTTAGAACATTGACAGAGATGCATAAGCTTGATCCTGCAATCTTTGAAAAGCGCTTCTGCCCAATGATATGTCAGACTTATCACAACAGAATCAAAATCAAAGGAGATGATAATATACCTAAGCAGCGCGCACATTACACTGCATTAGAAAAAAAAGCAAGAAAGAAACAGAAGCTCTCTTACTTTTCGTTTCTTCGTTTCCATGATGAGTGCCGCATGCGGATCTGCGGAGCGTTTGCGGCGAACCCGAATTATTGGCATAAGATCCGTCATCTAAAAAACTGTAGTTGTGAGAGTAATACGACAAATACATCAGCGAAAACACGAAAGATGAAAAATCCAAAAAAAAGTACTGACCATTTGAGCAAACAGCCGGAAAATCTAATGCATTCTGCACTCACGCAAATTCACGTCAAGTAAATGTTCCACGCCGCGCGCGCGACGCCTTCGCAACCCTCAACTCTCGCCACAGAGCGCGGAAGCTTCACAGGTATCCAGGTTATGCGCGTCCTTTAACAACCGCAGGTTGTACGTCGCTGCCTATATTCCCAAGTCGAGCGTTGCTGTACCTTTTGTGTGAAGATAGAGAGGTGCACCAACATGCAAAAAGTTCGTAGTGCCCTAATTCCACGCGTATAAGGCGCGCGGGATTTTTTTCGAATTCGAGCAGCCCAGGCAACAAAACTTCGCGAGCAACGGATCCTATACGCTTATTGCAAGGGAGCATAAGGATCGTTTCCCGAGACACAGTGAGGCTGAGCGGGCTTAAAAAATCGAAAAAGATACGTCTTGTGCACGTAAAATTAGGTAGTCTACCGTCATTACGATGATCAAAGTGTACGTCGATTTCCTAGCTTTTTCAAGAGAAAGAATTCCTGTATCATCTTACCATCTCGCAGCTGTCGGCCCCACAAAGAGCAGCGTATTCTAGGCATGTTCAGCTTAAGTGGATCCACAGCTCGAACTAACCATGTGAGGTGGCATTTAGGTTTTGCACTTTTGTTTTGGGGACAGAACCTATTTTTGTCGTAATCCCACCTCACTCGTTCAACCTAAATGTTTGTCGTCGAGAAGTGGATTTGGGACATTCCGATATTTCGGACCCGGCCCCAATCTCACCCATGATGCCCACTATAGTTGTAACGAAAGGAAATTTTCATCGAATGAACGAA